TACTCAAAGTTCTCAAAAAATATGAGCAAAATGATGTCATCATGTGGAGAAAGAAACAGATTTATGAAGAAAACATTCGAAGAAACATAAAAACATTGACATTAAAACATGTCTTGGAGGTACTCTACCATAGTCCTATTATTCTGGCATGGGCATTGCTCTACACCATTAGTAGTCATCTGGCAATCAAAATAGGGACTCCTTTGACCAATCCAGGGTGTGCCACTTTGTGGCCTTCCATACTCTTATGTTCAATACTTCCCTTCCCATCACAGTTTCATTTCTACGTTCTATTATTTTACCGATCTCTTGTACAGCCTGTAAAAACCCTCTTCTATTGGGCAATCTTGGAAATATGGATAGCAGTTTTCCACAGCATGGAATTTCATTTTTCATTTCTCTATATCATACAACTTGGGGTTTGTTTGGTATGCATTATCATCTTTAATATGCTGAAGTTTCAACCTCTAGTCACAGATGACCAAAAGGGACTTATTATCACTGGAATAGGTTGCCTGGATTCTAAACTTGATTACTTCCTCAAGAACAGAAGATGCAGCTTAATAACTAGGCTTATGTTTGGAGTAAGTAATGAACAGATAGATTTAAGCAGGTTCAAAACAATCTTCATAAAGAATGTGGATCTTCGGGGAAAATTGGTTCTTCAGCTAATTACTCCTTCCCTAGAAAGTAGAAATTTGCAGACACTTTGTATGGTTAACAACCACTCCTTTGACGATCAGGATGCAGCTCAGCTTGCAGATCTTCTACGCAAGAATCCATCAATTTGCTTCCTCAAAATTGGATTCAAGAAATTTTCATTCCTCAAGACATTGATGCATTTTTTGTTGTGGGACCACAGTCCTGTAAAACTGTCTGAACGCGGGGCTAGGGTCATCTTGGATGCAGTACAAAGTTTACAGAATGACAGGGACAATTCTTTTTCTAACCAAGATGAAAAATCTAAAAACATCGAAGCCACACAGAGCATTGAGGAGAGACTTCAGAATAAGAAAAAGATTATTGTCAGTGTGGACCTTGAGCAATTTCAACAAAAAAATTGTATAAACGGCCTGCTTGACTCCATTATATTTCAAACTATTTGTATGACAGCAGAAATGACATATTTCATATATGCAGCATATAATGTATTTATTGGATATTAAAATTGATTTTATACATGAATTTTATTATATCATACTTGTAGGTGACATGTAGTGCAATATCAATATCTATGGTGTAGATATTTCTGTGAGTTATAAACAAAAGTAAACCTTAAGTTAGTATATGGAAAAATATGTCAAAAAATGCTTCTCATCATATTACTTTTATGTTTTTACGAGAAACTCATTTTACTGTACATGTTAATTAAGAAATCCAAGAGAAATTAAAAACCACATGATCAAGGGTGTATAGCAATGTATTTTTGTTCTAGAAAAATGGGCACTTCGCAAGAAAAAAATCCTGGTTTACATATGATAATAACTAATGGTACAATAAAATAATATCAACATCGTAAATGTGATTATCATTTCTCTCTCTCTCTCTCTCTCTCTCTCTCTCTCTCCATTTATCAAAGGTTGAACCCTTTCCATTGATTCCAAGTCAGTACTGTTAAGTTAAGAATAATTTGGAGGAAGAGACTGATTTCTACCTGTATGTTCCATACGTGTGTCCCAACAAAATTAGAGTAATGCCCAAACTGTAATGTTATAATTTCCCTCGTCCCAGCCATTTCTACACACCAACTCTATAGAGGGAGCTGTTTACAAGACGTGCTGCAATGATGCCCTTTGTTTGTGGGTCGGTTGCGTTGAGACAACTAACAAAAGTTAACGTTAAATGTTTAGGTTGCACGAGGAGAAATTACTTTTTGTGGAGCGATACGAAACAAATTTAAATCAGTAGCAAGAGAAATTGGCAAAAGTGCTCGGCATTCATTTTCGACTCACAACTGTCACTGTCACGCTCGTGGTCACTGTCAGACAGATTAGCACCCTAAAAGCAAAACTTGCTATTAATTTTTTTTTTTTGCCTCACTAATTTTGATCATCATGCTTGTTCGCTTTTTTAATCAAGAATTTCGTTCTCTAAGGCTGGTTATTAGCATAATTTATGGACGTGTCTGATGATGCAGTATAGATTCAAACGAGTTTAGATTGTGTCTGCGGTACGGGACATTGTGTACTGTTAGTGTTTATCACGCAATGAATGATGAGGGGTTGTTCAGTGATGCAGTGAAACATCCCAGCCGCTATTAAATAGGCGAGCAGTTGGGTTTTTTTACAGTTAATTTCTTCCTAGTTCACCAACTAGAAGGCATGCAGGGTGAATTTTGAGTAAGTATTGATTTTCCATTGTTGAAACCAGAAAAATGTATAATTTGTTATACGTCATGTTATGACTATTACATTTCATTGTGTGATGTTGACGTTTTTTGCATGAATTTTTAAGTGCATTTAATTAAGGTACACAAATATATGTGAAAGTCAACTATTTCAGTTGTAACAATTGATATATATATATATAACTACTATAGTGGTTTTGTGTCAATTAAAGTATTAAATACATGTACCTTAATTAATTAATTAATATGTACAATTAGATTTCTTTTTGCCTGATAATACTATTATTAAAATCTTGTGCAGTATTAAATTATCCTTAAAATAAATGAGTGTTTGCTTTGAAAGACATTAATACACAATGATTATAAAATATTTTATTATTATATTTATTGATTTTGAAGCCCATCAGTAAAGGATAACTGGAAAAATTGGTTAATTATCAAGAATGAATCAATTAGATAAACAAAAAGCTGAAAGTTCAGTGTCTGGAAAACAATTGCAGCCCAAAGTTTATGTTACAAAATGTGAAACATTCAGTGCTTGTCACAGATTACACAGGTAATGTTAACTTGGTATAATATTTTGCTCTTAATTATTTTTTAAAAATCTGACATGATTTGATATTAATATATTTAGATAACTTGACGTCTCCTGAATACCATGTGTTTTTAAAATTTACAAAATGTATTTAATTAATAGAACAAATGACAGATAAATGCATAGATTTTATATAATATTATTAATGTCACAGTTAAGGTTTTGTAGTAGTCTGCTTTGACCAAATGCCATATATTTTGAATCTCACCTGGGCCAGTTTGAATTTTATATGATTATGCAAAATATGAACTGCATGCAAGTTTAATTGCTAAAAACAAATCCAGGCTTTATTTATTTAAGGTGCAAATTGTTAAACAATTACATATGTGCAAAAAGGTTCATTAGCTTGGTTGTTGGATAAATATGAAAATTCTCAGACACAAGCCTAAAATTTTCCGTACCGTTAGCTTACGGCCAACCTGGTCGAAGGCCTTCATCAGACTGACGTGAGTAGTTGTTCACACTCACTGACGGTCAGTGAGTGTGAACAACTACTCACGTCAGTCTGATGAAGGCCTTCGACCAGGTTGGCCGTAAGCTAACGGTACGGAAAATTTTAGGCTTGTGTCTGAGAATTTTCATATTTAATTACATATGTGTTTGAAATGTATGAATTTTGTATATATATATATGAGATTTGTCTATGTATCTGTACTGATATTGCAGTAACCAGCTGAGTGATGAAAGCAACCAGAGTATCTTTGGCAAATGCAATAACCCTAATGGGCATGGTCATAATTACAAAGGTAATTACAAAGGTAAAAACCCTAATGGGCAAGGTCATAATTAAAAAGGTAAAGAATTAAGGTAAAATCAAATACATTTTATGCTACCTCCACTCCAAGTAGTTCTAACTTTTTCCATGATTGTTTATTTTTCTTGAAAAATTACTTGAATTTTCAATTTCTTCATTATTTCCTTGTCAAAAAATATGTCTCATTTCATAATTCATTTTGTTATCCATATACATCACACAAACGTGGAAGCTTCTTAATTGTACATTTAGAGTCCAAGTTTACATATTTTTCATTCCAGTTGAAGTCACTGTGTATGGACCGGTAAGTTGAAAATATGTCCTCATGGCATTATATATATATATTTCTTGTAAAATATTACAGGCTTACAGGGGAAATTCCATTTGTTTGATATATATATATATATATATATATATATATATATATCAAACAAATGGATTTTACCCTGTAATATTTCACAAAAAAATACTAAATGATCCATCTGATGCATACAACATTTTTTCTTTATCAAAAAGCATGCAGTGACTGTTGTTATCAATATTAAGCACAAGGTTACTCAGTATATTTATATCAACAACATATGTGAGAAAAACTGTGGGAACACAATTTCAGGGTTGATCAAATTTGTGGAAACATTTACCTTGCAACATGTAAATAGGATTTGAGGTTGAATAAGGAAAATGAAAAAAATTCTGCCAGGGCATTCAGGCACATGAAATATGACTACCACTATAATTCTAGTCATGCACCCAAGTGATAGACTATACGTTGCTCAAGCAATTTTATTGTCCTTCTGTGAATAAAATAAACGGGTTCAGGCTAGTTACACGGCATTGCAGTATAACCTTATGCAACCCCTCAAGGGCATGCAAATTTAAGATTGGGAAAATGTTCAACTTTTTAGAACAATTTTGTTTTGATAGTAGCATGATATGAAATCATTATCAGAAATCTTTTAGAATGTGCTATTTGATTTTAGGAATTCAATGTAAAATATCAAAAAGATTGCATTGAATAACTTTATATAAGCAATTTTTTTCAGGTAGACCCTGTCACTGGCATGGTTATGAATTTAACAGATTTAAAAAAGTATATGCAGGTAAGCTATAGCATCAGACCTGACAGCTTGAGCTTTAAAGCATTCATACCACTCATACCAAGAAAGAATGTTGTATTGTTGTGCTCAGTTGTTTAAATAAAAAAAGATGAACGCAGTGGTGCTCTCTGTTATTTGAAGTATTCCCTTGGTTGTCCCGGGTGACTGCATCTTTTTTTAATCTTGAAGGCATGTCATGAGGGTTGGACGTACTTTTGATTACAGACACAGTAAGAATCAAACCAATACCCAGGCTACTGTGCTGAGTATGGCCATGTAACTTGACATAATTTTCAGAACAAGAGCAGATTTTCTTATTCATCTAGAATGTGCTGTCATATATTATTTTATTGTTTTGTTGTTTTTTGTTTTTTTTTTTACAGCTTGCCATTATGAATAATCTAGACCATAAGAATCTTGATAAAGATGTCCCTTTCTTTAAGGATGTGGTAAGGTAGGTTGGACTTTTTCTATTTATTTACCAATTTCCAGAATAAGCCTTAAAGATTACAAATTCACAATTAGGCACTTTTAAGAACATTTGCTAGTTTATGTTTTATGTATGAATTTGATATTTTAATTAATTGAAAAATGCACTCCTAATAAATGATGTGTTATAATTTTGTATTATTTTTTTAGCACCACTGAAAATTTGGCAGTGTACATTTGGGATCAACTTAGTTTGTTATTGCCATCTCCTGGACTACTCCATGAAATCAAAATCCATGAAACAGAGAAAAATATTGTCGTGTATAGAGGAGATCATTGTTAACAGCATTTCCTCCCCTGCATTTTAATGTAATGTTTGTTGTATAAAAGAGATTTTTTATAAAATTACAAATGGTAATAGTTATAGTAAATACATATATGTAATTGTAATTTTCTTTTGCATATATGAGGTGTATTATGTAAGTATTCATACTAGTACCTATATATGTGAGCACAAGTTAAGGATTTGTACAATTTTTTTGTGTATATCTCAGTGATGCAGTCAAATTTCATAGAACTATCAATGGAAGACAGCACTTTAAAGTTTGCATTATTTTCACAAATTCATCTTTAAAACATTTTTTAATTTGGTCCTTTTGATGCAAAGTTTAATTCAGATATCAATCCGTGTTCTGTGGAAACTGGAAACCTGCCCCAACTATCCAAATGCCTATGCTGAAAATGGCAAAAGGAAACTATTGTGCGGGAGATGTTAGAAAGTTTTTATGCTGTTCTTAGTTTAGTTTCTGTTTTAGGAAACTGGACCATATGTGGTTCTTTGGTGAAATATTTTATGACTAGAAAGTTTTTTGTTTTAAAAGCATTTTTTATGTATTTTATTTGCTTTCATATTAATGAAAAAGCTCTATTATTTTATACTGTCTGTCAATAACTAATGAAACACTTTGTTTTCATTTAGAATTTTTTAAAGCAAATTCATTAACATGATTGTCACATGTGCTGCTGACAGATTTTAAGCTATGTTGACATCATTTGTGGTGAAAAAAATATCAATCCCCTTAACAGCATTCAATTGCAATAACTGTTTTATTTTGTGTATTTTATAGATAATTGTATATATACTGGGTGTAACCCAAGAATGTGAACACCATTTATTTTGTTTTAAAAAAATTATATACAACCCATATATTTTAATGAAAGCTAGATAAGTTAGCAAAATAACTGGTACAAACAATGTCACTAATTCTAGTGGCAAAAATTATTGTCACTTAAGTGGTCTCCTCATTCTCTCCACCTTAACCCCCCAGAATTTTATTTGTGGGGGTGTTTGAAGGAATGGGTGTACACAAACCCCCGCACCATCCCAGAACAGCAATCACTCTGGAAATTGGACCTATACAAAAAGATTGCATCAACGTCACTGATAACTTTGCCCAAAGAATTCAAGTGTCTTCAGCAGAACAGAGCACATCTGGAGCACTTCTATGAATGATGATAAGACCTTAGCCAGTATAAAAATGTTCATGTTGTTTGTAGCAGATTTGCTAACTTTTCTTGTCTTTCAAAGTTTGTGGGTTGTATATGTTTTTTTCTGCAACTTAAAAATTTTAAAGCTTCTTGTGTCATTCTATGATTTATGCTCAAGTACAATCACTGCTACAGTAACAGTGTTGATGTCTTATATTTATGCTCTCAAGTACTTATTAATGTTATGTTATGCTGTGGTCTATTGCATTAATAATTGACTACGTACAATTTGGTAATTATGAAGCGTGCAAGTGACAAACTGCCACAATTGTGAAGAATTTCTATTTCTTTTTAGTATGCCCAACTAGACAGTTTAATTTTGATATTAATTTATGCATGGAGGGGTTGGGCTCTATAATAATGACTGACTGGTAATCAAAACATTTTATGGATTAAAGATGTCTGAAAATTGGGTGTGCTTTGAGAGTTATGTGCAGAGGGATAAGCACAATATGTGAGCATCTACAATTATATTTTGGAATGTATAACTTGAGCTCATTTTTCTACAACCACTGCATATATTTTTCGCAGGCATTTATGCTCGCTTCACCACGACAATATGTGTTCACAACGTGCCGAACTTTTGGTTATACCTAGTTGGACAAAAAAAAAAAAAATGCTCTATTTAGCAGCCTTCGCCTAATCTTGGAAGTAAAGTGGTTTGTTACGTCAACACCATTACTTTTCAGTTAGACTACATGTATTTGAGAAATCTTTTTGATTCCGGATACTTAAAAATAGAAAAACAAGACTTTTTCCGTATGTACATCCAGTTATTTTAATCCAGTTTAATTCAAAAGTGTACAGAAAAGACCCAGAATATGACAGTTCATGATTTGTTGGTCTACTTGTGAGCAGCCTTTCTCTGTGCCTGGATAATCTTTTGCATTTCTTCTCTCTTCCTCTTTGCACGTTTGTGGGAGCCCAGCTAAAAAAGAAAATGTAACACTAAGTTACACAGTAAACATACTGAGCATAAATCTTTTCAAAATATTTAAAAGAAATTTCACAACTGGACTTTATTGAAGCTTTTCTACTGAATCACAAAAATGGAACATTAAAATAATACAAAATTAGAATATTTGAGTTAACAATATGCCACTACCCATTTAGAGAAAGTACAGGGGGAGGAAAAAAGTACTTATTACCTCTCATTCAACTTAGCAACTAGATCATTACACTGTTCCCCCTTAAACATCACTACGTACCCTCTTCTTTGCCAGCTTTAGAGCTCTCTTATCCTTGGACACCTTCAACAATTCCATGCACCTTCTTTCATATGGAGCAAATCCCGACACCTCACGCACAATGTCTCTGATGAACTTGATGTGCTTGTTCAGAACCTGCAATAAAATTGATATTTAGAAACGGGGCCAGGTTGGCAATTGAAATAATGTTCACATCCATTTTACTTGTATCATTTAGATTCAAGCACAACAGTGAATACAAAATATGCTTGGGGTGCTAGAGGCCGATTACCTCAGCAAATGTATCACATGGTACAAATATAACGGCAAGTTTGTATGTTTGATGCAGTGACATGAAGAATCTTGATATACTAGCCACACGCCCCTAGCCACATGTAGGTCAGTGCTACTGTAACTGCTACAGTATTGTAAGGTTTCATGCAATGATTATGCATCTCACTATTTAACTCAATTTTGGTTTTGGTCTGGGTTCAGATGTGCATTTCAAAATCCATCAAAATGAATATACCTAAGATACAAGTTTACACAACACCATTACTTACCCCAATTCTCCTTGAAGGTCTGGGTTTCATGACATTTTTGGTGACTTTGTGGCCTTTATTAAGGCCCACTGCCATTTCATATCGAATTGCCATTTTGCTGTAAAAAAAATGCACACAGAAAAATAAAGCAATCTTCTATATTCATTACAATCATATGTTAAAAAGGGATCTATCACACCTCTCAAAAAACTGCACGAACATTTACTAAGGAACCTCTAGAACTGATGCCAAGTTGTGGTATTAAGAGCCTTAAATATTACTGTCGCCGTTATCTTTTTGATGGGTGTTTTACTACTTGAAATGTAGCAACATTCATGTATGACATCTACACTGATATATGAGGCACCAAATGCTGTTAATGAAAATGGGTATGCTTATCCTATAGACGCAGTATGTGTTTTACAACTTTTTACTCTGTGCATTGATAATTCAGAAGCCAATGACTAATTTGACAAAAGGGGCAAATGTTAATTTTTTTCGTCTGTCTTTTCAAAAATTGAAAATGTGTTTCCTGTAAGGCGATGATTGAGGATTTATAAAAACGTTTCAAATTCCCTACCCGATCTCAAGCAAATATGGCGTGAAGAGATCGTAAGTCGGTACTCAATTTGCGACAATAAGCATATATTATAACTCAAGTGTTTTCAAAAATTTTAGTGTTTAGTTATCAGAATATTTTGTTATTTAAAACTTTTCGTTGAATGTATAAAACCTTTTGTTACATATTTCAATTTTTCGTGGTGCTATTGCAGTTAACGATAATATTATCTTATTACGATAATACGAAACTGCCCCAAGTGTATTCCTCCTAAAATATTTCTACTTAAGATTTCAATATATCAAACATTGTACATGATTGTTTCGCGTACAGACTTATTTAAACAGAAAGAGGGATTTAAAAAGATAAATAGAAACAAATGCTAATATTTTAATTTATGTTATAGTTTTTATAATATTTTGAATTTTCTCACGCTATCGAATTTGCATAGAGGCGCCAAGCGGATGAATCAAATAGACATTAAGTTGATATTGCGATTTTTGGGTGGATTGTTATTAAATAGAGAAGGTAAATACAACTAAGGACACGTTTTTACGTTGATGATTGCGTGTTCAATAATCGTAGTTTTTGCTTAAGTTTAAATAATTGAACTGATCCCTTTCTTACCCGTCTGAGTGTGGTCCTACATGTACATTAGATGACATTTGTATTGCTAGCTTTCGCCAACTTCATTCCATAAAGATTTAAGCCTTATCACCACCAGGAAAAAAGTAGTTTGATGCTCAGCGTGCACATCGACTGATAGATAAATAATAGACCAAAAGTTGTGCAGACTTTTACGTACATAACATATATAATTTAGGAGCATTGTAAACATTTTGGAGTGAGGTATGCCCTTTAAATTAAAGTTTCCCTCTTCAGGAATCTGGAGCATGGTTGGTGATGGAGATTCCACAAAATAATCTTACAGAGCAGTTGAAGAAATTTGGGACTGTCTCAGCAACATCCTTAAGTACAAATACCAACAAGACGGTTCATAAAAGGTAATAAAACTGTTTGTAATTCCATTATTTTCTATTTCATTTATCAAGGATATGATAGGCTTTTATTGCTTACACTTACAATTCATAAAATTTTATCAAAATATTTTTACACTAAATAGATAGGGGTTATTTTGACATTATTGGAAAAGTTATATAATATATTCTTGCTCTTTTCTAGGTATTAATATTTTTCTTTTTAGCTTAAACAATTAACATGTCATATGATAGAATCCCATTTTGAATTTTTCACCAGCTCCAAGTTTATTTTCAAGAAGAAGAAGCCGCCAGTACTGACAGACCTCAGTTCACAAAGTAATGTGCCCCAGTTAAATCCAGGGACCCTTGGCACTAACAAAAATGTGCATGGAAGTTTGTATGACACTTCCTCTGACTATGTTAATGGTTCTAATAGCTATCAGTCATTCCCTGTAAAACGCGACATTCAATCTGGAAACAAAGCAGGACACCAAGCATGGACACAGGGTAATAACACCTTTAATGGTCCAGCATCATCCAAGTTGAGCAATGCCACAGTATCTAATCCTTTCAGAACAGATAAGCCTTTCAAATTGGGAAAACAGGTTTGTAACCAAAATTATAATTGTACAGATCATTGAGATTTTTAAAATTATATACTCATCAGTTACTAAAAATAAGAGGTTTTCATAAATGATTATTATAATAGCAGTAGTGTTGATTAGAATGTCCAGTGTTTTTAATTTATAAACTTATCATTACCAAAAATAAAAGGTTTTCATAGATGATTACTAGTATAGCTATAGTGTTGATTAAAATGTTCAAAAAGTTACAAGTACTTAATTAATTAATAATTAATTATGATTTGTTTCCCTGAAAACCTGTAATTTTTAATCTTTGCATAATTTAATTTATTTTTACATAACTTTTGTTTCAGAATGCATCATCTGCCAAACAAGGACAGACTTCCATTTTGCAGTTTGCAAAATCAAAAAGTGAGAATGAGCCGTCAGTTCCAGACGCAATTAAGAGGCCAACCCAAAGTTCAGTTGGTCAAGAAAAAATCAGACCAGTGGCTTCGGTGGTCCCAATGCCATTAAGTCCAGGGTATGAACTGAAATGAAACATCTATTCTTTTAAATTTATTTGTGCAAAATGTCTGAAGAATGAAATTATATTAATTTTGTAATGATTGTTTACCAGTTCTATCCAGATGGATTTTGGATAGATAACAAACTGCATTGAACGTAGGCTCACTGATTTGATTTTCATTTTATTTGTTGATATCCATTGACCAATTAATTCATATATATGGATGCAGATCTCAAAATTTAAAATGTATATGAGGATGACAAACAAAACAATCTAATTGCATGCAATATTAAGGGGTTAAATGTAGCACTGTACTTGTATAGTCAGTTTCATTTCCATACCAGACCTATATGCCTTGATGATGAGGACGAAGATGCCTTTGAAGCCAGTCCAGGATCTTGGATAAGTCCTGATGAAAGACCTAGTGTGTCTGTCCATAATACTGAAACAATTACTACACAGAACAGTGAAAGAACATCTGTAAATGAGGTAATTCAAATTTTGGTGTCCACAACTTCCATGAGTCAGTTCTTCTTATTTGCTAGATTTGATAATAAAGTATCAGTTTGAAATAAGTAAACTTGTCCTCAAGAAATTTTTTTCTGTGTATGATGATTACTTAATTTTCAAATCTCACTTTTCCTAATATTTTTCTTTTTTTTTAAAGATTTATCATGTTCAGAAAAAATGTACTTTCTGACACAAATTCAACAAACTTTTCAAAACTTTAAAATGAAGTATTTACCAACAACTTTTTTATGTGGGAAAATTATTAATTCGTGTTCTTCAAATTTTATGAATAATTGCCATGTTTTTAATTTTCAGATGCATAATGGAACAGAGTATTTAAATGACTATGACCAAATACCAGACCAGTATTTTAGTGATGAATGTGATATTTTATTTGAACCAGATGTAGGTTTCAATTTAAATCATGGTTGAAGCCACATTTATTGTTTTAGTCAAATGATTAACATTTAACTAAATAAATTATGAATTGGAAATGGTGTCAAATATTTTATAATTAATCAGAGTCAAACTAGATTAATAAAATATAGTTACTTAAAATTTAATATTAGCCTATTTAATCAATGTTTTATTTATGTTATTTGGATTGATTCTTATTTTAACATTTACAGTACATTTGCAGTGTATGGTTAACACATAGAAAATATTATTTTATATTAGTTGCAGGATTGGGAAGACGTAAATCAAGGTAAACCAGATGTGACAACGAGTACAGAAAACTTTGCAGCCAGAATTGAAAATCCAACTGGGTATGTTTTATGTTAATGTTCAGTAATACTAGGGATGATTCAGAATCCTCTTTTCATAGGTATTATCTTTCATTTTGATTCTGTTGGATTTCCAATTGTTTTTTGCATTAGTTGCATGTCTTATAGGATTTTTTTTAATTATTTTTTTCTCAGCTTTCAAGCAGGGTATTCAATTTTTTGTTTCAGAAAAATCTCAGAAGAACCTAAAGCTGAAAATGGTGGATATGAGGTGTGTTTACATTATTATTATTTTTTTCAAATGATTAATAATTCCATTTATGCATACCTCTTTGGCTTTTTTCTTATTATCTGCATGCATAAAAGATGCCCTCTTGGATCTGTTTTTCCTTTTTTCAATAATTATTATTTGAAAGTTAACACAAGCCTTTGTTGTTGTTTTAATTGATACTTTTTGCCTTTTATTCCAGGGCTCAGAGCTGATGAATGTCATGGATGAAATATGTCAAATGATCAGTTTATTACCAAAAAGTAGTCTACGTAGTCTTCCAGGAATGGATTTTCCAAAATTGCAACGTTTGCTAGCGAAAAGGTATTGGAAAATTTTTGTAAAAATGATAATGCAATGATAATGCACATTTGATTTTTTGCTAAGTCTTTGTCATGTGTTTGAGTGATATTTGTTTTTCAGTGAAATGTTCTTAAATATGTTATTTTACACAAATTCATTATTAAAACATACATGTGACATGTCTTTGCAATTCAAAGTAGAACAGTCACGGATTTAATTTTATTTATTCATTTTTTTTTCTCTTATAGAATTCTCCTCAAGAAAAGGAGCAGTACAACAAGTAGTGTACTGCCAAGTGCTCAGGCGGCCTGTTCCACTCCCGTTACTACCCCAGCTTTTCACAGCAGACTGTGTACAAGTGGGACAACACATTCTCTACACTCAGCAGGATCTCCTGTAACACAGTCTCCAATAGTATCACACAATAACAGCAATAATAACCAATACAGTGCAAATAAACAGAACTCCTCACCAGCACCCCCTGGTGGAGAGAGTTTCTTCGAGGAGGACTCCAGTTTTGTGAAAACGACTGAAAAGATATCCAGCATTGGTGCTACAACTAGTTTCCAGTCTGTTCAGAACTCCTCAGCAAAGGGTGATTTCACCAGTTCATTCACTATTGGCTCAACACAGGGGACAAATCATCAAAGGGAGAACTCGGTCAATTCAGTCAATTATGGTGGTGCTATTTTCAGTCCCCATGTCCCATCAACTAGCAATATGTCTTTGTCTCATATGGATGCTTCTAAAAGTAATCCAGTTGCTAGCCACAGTGGTGCAATATCAGGTAATGAAATAATTTTATATAGAAATGTTATCATTTTCTTATATTAGTGAATGTATGTTTCATGAAGATTCCATGCAAGCTGTTGGATTTCTCTATACACTCTTCAGTTGTCAGTAAAAGAAAAGAATGTCTCATTTTTACTTACTACTCAGATGAAAGACATCAATAATACAGTTTTTTACTTTTTTCTTTATTTTCATCTAAAAATGCCATAAGTTTTATCAATATATTTCTTAATAATGATTTTTGTAGGAACACAGCAATCTTATCAACTCACAGCCAACCAGCAAGCCAACAAAGAATTTGATGGCCACAATTTTCCCCACAGTAGAGAGCTGCTGAAAGTTTTCACACAAGTATTTGGTTTGAGGAATTTCAGGCATAATCAGCTACAAGCTATCAATGCGACCTTGTTAGGAAAAGACTGTTTCATTCTCATGCCAACAGGTATAAATACCCTGCCGCAGTGCATATTTTGTTCATATTGATACCTGATCTTTGGGAACCATATATTTATTAAGTCAAATATTAGAATTCAAAAATATTTAGAGTTTTATATTTATATATATACCTTGGTCCAATTTTACTCAAGAGAAATGATCTATCTTGTTAAGATTATGAATAACATAGTTCTAAATTGATCATTGAAAAAAGGTAATATCTGAAATACAGTCTGAATATGACATTTGATTAAAAAAATTTAAAGTGCTGTCTTTCTAATGGTGTGTAGGTGGAGGGAAGAGCTTGTGCTACCAGCTTCCTGCCTTACTGACACCAGGTGTCACTGTAGTCATCTCACCTCTCAGGTCACTCATACAGGACCAAGTACAGAAATTGTGCTCGTTAGATGTGAGTTTTTGAACATAAAAGATTCAATGGGTGCATGAAACTTAACATGTGTTTAATGTTTAGGTATTTTTTGCCCCCATGTCATTGCAATTATTATTTTATCTTGTATCATTTGATCTACAGTGTTATTGGTCACCAACATTTAAGAGCATAAAAGGTTTAATTTATGCACTTGAATCATGACCTCTGGAGCCTTGATTTTCCTAATATTGTATTTTAAAATTTCTATCTAATATTTTATCAAAATTATTAGTTTGATCAGTAAGATTTTTAAGTATTTCTCTAAAATATGTTCACAGGTACTGTAAGTAGTTAGCAGCATTTTTCCCCTGTTGATTTTTGCTGTCTTCTGGTTTTAGGTGCCAGCAGCCCACCTGTCTAGTGATGTAACTCTAGCCCAGTCTGAGAACATCTATCACCAGCTGTACCTCAGAGACCCTGGCCTGAAACTCCTCTATGTTACTCCTGAAAAGGTATTCATATGCACTTTTTTCCTTGCCTTAAAATCAGAATTGTTATAATATGGATGGCTTGTAGTAAAAATGAGTTTTTATAGATATATGTTGGTCAGTCACATTACTTGAAGTGGTATTTTAGGTCACAAGAAGTCTATAAAGACAACCTTTAAGTCCAGGTGTATTATAACTTGTCGATGTCTTACAGTTTCTGGGGTAGCGCTAGCAAATTTTTTTGCTTAGCCAAATCAATTTTTTTTTGTCAATTTGTTATCCAAATGGTTTTAATTTGACTAAGATGAGTCAAATCAAGCCCTTTTTGTTTAGCCAAGTTAAGCCATTTTTAGCATTTGGTTAAATTGGCGAGTGTTAGAGTTTCTAGATGGCAAATGTCAGTCTTCATGATTCATATGCATTTTCTAGATAAGTCAGAGTGAGAAGCTGCTGTCTGTATTTGAAAACTTATACAGGAGGAAAATGCTGAGTCGCTTTGTCATTGATGAAGCTCACTGTGTCAGTCAGGTATGTTGTCTCAGTAAAATGCATCTTCGTTTAAAATAAAAATTGTTATATACATAGAAACATGTCATGTTCCTTTTGAAAAATATTCAGTTTCAGTTATTTTTCCAAATTGTTTTGAGGTCTGATTCTCTTCAGGATACCTTGTTGAATTGAAAGAAAAGTATGTGTGACGAGTGCATCTACCATCTTTTAATGGTAAATGTAAGAAAAAACCTGATAAAGCCGGTAAAGGAGGTCAGCCGGTGTTCCTGGCATTTATGGATTTGTTTCATCCTGGAGAGCCTGCAACTGAAACGGTCTTACATATGGTCCCTGGCTAAGTCTTTACTCTCTGCTTCATCCTCTATGTTCAAAGTGCATATTGAGGATACAGCAGGTATCATTTTTATAATGATCTTTCATATCCTTTATAATTCATCCTCTTCCCTTCAGTGGGGTCATGACTTCAGGCCAGACTATAAAAAGCTGAAGCTGCTGAGGCAGAAATACCCTGGTGTCCCCATGCTGGCATTAACTGCTACAGCCACCCCTAGGGTCAGGAAAGATATTCTCTACCAGCTGAATATGAAGGCACCCAAGTGGTATGAGATATGTTGGAGCCTTACCTTTTTTTTCTTTTTTTCAGGAAAGTTATAGATAAAAGGAATACTTATTTTACTTCCAATTTATGAATTCACATTGGTAATTCAAAATCTTAAAGTTAAACTGATGAGAATTGGTCAGGAATAAATTTAGTTCATATTTCAGTAGTTTTTAAATGGTATCTAGAGAATCTGGAATGTTTTTGTGATATATGCAAGATTGATATAATTGACAGTATTCTAACATGAAGATAAAATGTCAATTTGTTTGTTTATTGTCCATTTATACATATATATATATTTATCTTCTGAAATCTGCTCCTCAGGTTCACCCAAAGTTTTAACAGGACAAACCTCAAATACTCTGTACAGCCTAAGAAGGGGAAGTCATTGATGAATGAAATGATCAACCTAATCAAGACAAAATTTTCAAAACAGTCTGGCATTATCTATTGTTTATCACGGTCAGTAATAGTTATCAAGTTTGTTTTTTTTTTCAAATTCACTTTGTGTCAGTGTATCTGTGAGTTATTAAATTGTAAAATCATTATACTATTTTCTTAAGCTTTTACTTCAATATACATTTTTTTAATCTGATACTTTTCATAATATGATGTTGACCATGAGAAGATGTTGAATTTTTCAAATATAATGTACAGGATTGAGAATATAATATTATAATGGGTTGAAGAAAAGATACTAAGTATTCATAATTTTCTTGTTTAAACAAAATTTCTGAAAATCTTGATAACCACATAAATATACCATTTACTAATATTCAATTTGTTATTCTCTCCTGTAGAAAGGAGTGTGAGACAGTATCAAGTGAACTCCAGAAGGCAGGTATCACATCTCAACCCTATCATGCTGGTCTGACAGACTCAGAGAGGACACTAGTCCAGGAGAACTGGATCACAGACAGCTACAAGGTACTGGGACCTCAGCTCCACAGATGACACTTTTATTGGTTTTTGTTCTTGCTGGAGATTTATTGCCAAATGTTGAAGAATTTTATTTATCAGAAATTGGGAATATTCTAGGGTGTGATGCCAGAGTTCAAGATTTCATGTTATCATTGTCTTTTATATATCTATTTGCATTAGATTTTTAATATGATTATGAGTTGTACGACAAGGTAGCAAAATAATTGACCAATTTCATCTTTTGTGTCAGCATACAAATGAATGAGGAAAATAATATTACTGTATGTCTAATGGATGTTATGTACATAGAAAGTAAACAAAATTTCCAGTGTTTAAGAGAAATGAACAGACTTTTTTTTTAGTTTAAAGTTTAAGACTTCAGAATTCAAATTTACAGCCCTGAGTTATTTTCTTGACATCCACAGGTTGTCTGTGCCACCATTGCCTTTGGTATGGGTATTGACAAGCCAGATGTGAGGTTTGTGTTCCACTACTCTTTACCCAAGTCAGTGGAAGGTTACTACCAGGAGTCTGGCAGAGCAGGAAGAGATGGCAAACTGTCCACGTGTATCCTGTTCTACTCCTACCAAGATGTCAACAGAATGAGGAGAATGATTGAGAGTAAGTAGGGTGAAAAGTTGAGTATGTGCATTTATTTTTTACCAGTGGCACAGCAAAGTAGGTCCCTAAGTTGAAATTTTTTTCTCTAGAAAATAATTTGCAACCTGGGGTCATTTTCACTGCATACTCTATTAGATCTGAACATAAAGCATAATACTTATAAGTTGTCTGCATGACCTTTAGATCAATTGACTTTTAGATCAAGCAGTATCAAAATCAAAGCTGTAATAGGCAGTTAGATTTAACAAGAGTTTCAAAACTTTGTTATTTTATTGAATGTATCAGTGATGCCAATGTTGAAATTGAAAGCTCCTATCAACATGTAATTGATAAAGTAATATAATGTAAATGTACATAGTAACAAAGATCAGAATTAGTATAAAATTTATTTATCAATTGGTATTTTCAGTGGAACATAGTTAATTTATTGTGAAAAGTTACTAGATAAATCTGTCACTTGTGTGTATGTGGGTGAATGCATACATTGGTGTGTGTTACTCAAAGATGTGACTTCTGTGTAACACCTGTCTATATTTTTCTAGTGAATAGTGAGGGAGGCTATGAAACCAAGAAAGTTCACTTAGATAACCTATACAAGATGGTCCACTACTGTGAGAATGTAGCAGAGTGTAGAAGGACGCTCCAGCTCAATTACTTTGGGGAGAACTTTGACAGAAGTCAGTGCACTGCCATGCCAGGAGCTATGTGTGACAACTGTGCATCCAGGGTAAGAAAATTTGTGTCATTTTGTGAATTTTGATGACAAAATTGCCTGAATCAGAAATGAAATATCTTATTTCACTTTTTAGATATATTTTTGATATTGTTTGCTCTTCATGTGTTTTTTATTGAAAAATGATATTTTGGAAGTTTTACTTAGTTTTTATTACCAAAACTAGATTATTTCAGAATTATATTTTACCTATAAACATAGTTTTTTTTTCCACTGTTGCTGTACACTTTTGACAGTTTTAAACTAACACTTGCATTGTGTGGCAGCCAATAAAAATTTTATTATTGAAATTCAACTGTGATGTGTCACCACAGGAGCTGTTTGTGAAGGAAGATGTCACAGAAGATGCCAAGGCTATAGTTCAGGGTGTGAAAGAAGTTACTGGGAAAGGTGGAAGATTCAACAACTTTACACTGCTTCACTTTATTGAGATATTTAGAGGTGTGTGGAAAAAATAAATGGCATCTAGTGTTCCTGTAATTTAAATTAAGGCTTGCTGAAATATTTCCCATAATTTTTTTTACAAATAATTAATTTGGTTTTTATTACAACCTCAAAAGGCAGCAAACTTAGGACTTGACTGAAGTATATTGTCTCTTTATCATGATATTATACAATCATTGACTGTGGACAAGATCAGTATGTTGTTTGTACCTCAATCAATGTTATTTTTAAGTTTTGCAAAATATTACGAAAAGCACATAATTTAATACAAAATGTCAATCTCTTCCAAGATGGCATAAAGAGTTGCAACATCACTGTCATCCAACATTGTTGTCATATGATTGATAATATGTCTGATTGTTTAAAAAAAATCACCAGTTATCTGTTAACTCATCCCTTAATATAATATAATATTGGTGATTAGATCAGAGGTCAATATTGAATTCTATTTCGTATAAAAATATCGGTCAGTCTTAAATGAGATATGCTTGCGCATGCGTACTCAGTTAGCTTGTGACATGCGGCTGGGTAGTCAGCCTGAAAATAGATGCGATCTATTTCTATCAGAATTATAATCTAAAACAAACGTAGTTTGTTTGCTTAAGTTGGAAACATTTTTGCAACGGAGTTGCAATCTTTTATGCGGCATATATATTGATCTGTAACGTAGTTACACATTGTAGGCTACGAATCATTTGTGTGCCAAACTTAATTTCAATATGGCGGCCGAAAGCACGTGTAGTGCTGTTTTACCGGGCCTTTCAAAACCCGCAATAGATACATGTAAGAATAGCGAGGACGTTAAAGCAAAGAAAGTAAAAACTAGAACAGGAAAGGGGAAACTAGACGACAAAGCAAAATCTAGTCATAACAGTGATGAATATTTAACTATAATGAAAAATATACAAGAAACTGTGCAGAGACAGGAAACGAA